CAGCGAAATCGTTAATATATAGCCCTTTTCACGGTTTCGTCAGATTGACCCGCTCATTTCGCCGACTCTCCTATCGATACGTATCAAAACGTTTCGAGAATGCCAAAATTTCGCCAATGTGAATAAAACCTAGAGGACTTTCTAGAGAGCTGGGTTTCAGAGCAAAGTAAGCCTCTCCTCCCACTAACAAGCCAGCACTGGACGTCACTTGAGTGCCAAAATGAATCGGTCTATTAAAGCATGTCCCGTTCTATCAAACTCACTCAAAGTACGACTCTCAGCACACGACTGCACGTACTATTATACATTCAGCAAAAATGGAAAATTGAAGATGTAAACAACTAACGTGGGAATTCGTCTTTAACTTTCGGTTTTGGCGCAGGTGGTCGTATTCCAATGAGTTCGAGTCGACGACGCGCCTGTTCCTCAATGAGCTCTCGTGTCGCTAGCCGAGCGAGATTTCGAACTCGTACTTCCTCTTGTAGGGCGATTTCCCGATCACGTAGTTCTCTCCTCTCAGCGACAAATCTCAAAAGGCGAACAATACGCGGACGTAGGCATGCAGTATGGGCAGTAAGTAATCTACTGAATTCTCCAATAGAGAACCTTACCTGTTATACTTTTGCTCAGGCGTAGGACGTTGACCGAAACTATTCAATTTGTCAAGGAGTTCCGTGAGACGATCAACCCCACTAGACTGGGTGCTCATCGGTGTAGCAGAGCGTGAGCTAAATGTTCATCATAAGGATTCTTTATATCATCGGCGAGATGGAACAGATTATGAGCCTGTCTAAGGATCCGTGATCGTTGAAGCTTTAGATTTTGAACTTAAAGGCAGCGCCCGCGTTCAAATTTGATGAGTATGCGGCTCAGGTAGTAATAGCAAGGGAGCAAGAAAACCTAATTAAGGTGAAAAAAAATCAAAAAGAAAAACATAGTGCAAAAGTGCCTATTAAGGAGTTTCATACCCAAAAAGCGCGTTGTACGTTGCTTAACGACGAGAAAGGAGTGGTTGCACGAGTTCTCACTTGTTGATTTCAGCTGCTTCCCCTTATCACCTCACTCTCACCACTCTACGTGGAGAGAAGCAGCAATGGAACAACCGCACCATCAGGCAACCATTAAAATGACAAGTTTGGGCGTTGTGGTCGGCAGGTGGCGGGCAGGCGGGCGCCGTCGACACCTTCACCAGCGACTAAGCGTCCACCCTCTGGCACTTTGTGAAGATCAAAACTAGTACATACTGCATCCTTATGGGGAGGGCTATCATATACAGAAAGCGCGTAGGAACATCAAGTGGACGTGGGTGCTGCCTTTAACAATGAGTATTCTCGACTGCGGCACAGAAGCCGTTTATGTAAGACAGAAACGAAGATAGCAGATGTTCTACTTCTGAGCCAACGAGATTGTGTTAGGTGGCCGATCTTATATACGGCATGAAACGTTTCGACCAAGATCGGCCGATTTCCTCAGAGGCCTGAACGTAGCTCAAGATTTTTAATTTGCTCTCTACACCGCCAAACGCCTTGTCGCCCTAGCGTTTCCGACGGTACTTCCAGAAACAACCAAAACCTCCCGTAGGTAAAACATACTCACCAAGCCAAGACAGCAGAGAGAGAGAGAGAGAGGGAGAGAGAGAGAGAGGGGGGAGAGAAGAGAGAGAGTGGTGCGCTATTTTCTCTGAAGAGGGGCATTCCTGTAAACTTCTGTCAAGAGACTGGGGAATGGTGCGAACGATATGATACAGTGGGATAATATCACCTACATTTTAGGTGGTCACGTAGCACAGGGCTGTTGTATCTTCGGCAACAAAGGAGAAAAGCATCGAAAGGAGTATCGAACTTTCGTGCCATTCTACACCCTTCGTTAGACAAAACTAGTGTAACTACGCTAAAGCTTTCCTCTAATATGATTGGTTCTGTAAATAACCCGAACAACTAGAAAACGGCGCTTTATTGAAGCATTTCAACTTCTCAGCATAACAATAGAACATGGCTCATCACACATGTACGACTGAAAGATCGCGCATAATTCAAATCAGCCAGTCTTCAAAATCTCATCAAAAACTGGCTTGTATTTTGAAGGATGAAAGATTACTGATCATGATGTATTATCGTTAAAAGCGCTGAGCAGTCTCTCAACCTGATACGATCGATCTACCGGGGAGGTTATGTGAGTTACGTTCCAGTGGTTCTAAATGAGGATGCATAGTGATGGCTGAGTAATCATTTCAAACAGTGACCCCTTTCTAAGAAGCTTTACGGCCCTGTTGGCTGCGATCATGAGCTCAGCACAAGGCGATGTATTTACACTTTGATGTCGCTGCTGACCTAACGGTAAAGAGCCGATCGCTAGCACTGATGAGCAGCATTATCTGCCCCTTCTAATCCTTTCCCGCTTCAAAATGGGTTCTATTGGCATCTCCGGAGTAAGGCGGGCAATGAGTTATAGGAATACGGTAGTACATTACTGTTATTTTTTTAGAATTACTGCTTGTACCATGGAATTATATCCACATCTTGATCTTGATCCTTACCAGCTGATAGCCGGATCTCAGTCGGTCAGAATTAATCGATATCATTTTCTGCATCGCTGGCTAGTTCTGATTTCTGTTTCAATGCAGCGTTACCACAAAAAGGTGTCTAAAGAATTGGGGAAAGAACGAAAGAATGAATATGTAATGATTTTCATTTCATTTCGCAGAAACGCAAAACGGGCGGGTTAATTCCTGTCTCGTCTTGTTCGTCAATTTTCTGGCGCAGTTGCCGACGGAGGGAGGGGAGGGGGGCATTTTGCACTTTCGTTGCTTCTTTAGTTTTGGTTTACGTTTACCATGATGGCTTGACGAGCTTGCTCCAGCTTCACAGGAGTTCACAAGTCTCACTCTGGTGAAACCTGTGAACTCTTGTGAAGCTGGAGCAAGCCCATCAAGCCATCATGGTAAAACCTGTCAGCTCAAGAAGAGGCTGTCTAGATGGTTCGACACGCCCATGGGACGTCGTTAAAGTGCAAAATGCCCCGCTCCCTCGCCAAACAGCGTTCACATTCTGTTTCCGTGAAATCTGTGTCGTGGAAATCTTCTCTTATGACGTGGCTTGGCTCGAATGTTACTGTTTCAACTGTGGAAAGAATACAATTTTAATACTTTGCAAATACTAGAACACAGCTAGTAATTTTAAGCGACAGTCTAACCATCGATTTTCTAACATGCCATTACCCAAGGAGAAAAGTAATGGCTAACATTCATGGTGTTATAGCTCCAAACCTTCAAACTGCCTCCTCCAATTACAACTTATTCTCCACTTATCCTCACCTACCTTTGCCGCTCAATAGCTTCAGAGGCATCATCTGTAACAGCAGATCCAGATAGTGACGCAGCATTATCCCCATCTTCACTAAAAGAAAATAGCATGAATTCTCTAGTACAAAAATGATGCACAGTATTGTCACAGTATACCAACCTCGCTTTGCTCGGAAGACGACTGCCTCTCAACCACTCTGGCAACTTCATCAGGATGAGCGCTCGAATCGACAGCTTTCCTGCTAGATTTATGCTTCCCATACTTATCCAGAACATTTCGAACTCTTCTGAGGCTATCATATTCGTCGACCATCCGCCTAGTGGCTCGGAAAGGCCTGAATTGCAACAATGCTGAACGGTTTAGTGAAATCAAAAATTCGCTGGACATTAGTTTCGCAGTGAAAGTGATCAACTAAAATAAGGACGACTAATTACAAACATAACAGCCAACCTCCTTTTGTCAATCTTTTCGGTCACAAGAAGACGCTAGATCATCTCGAGATGGGTACTTGACAGCATTGCCACCCATCTTCTCGATCATATCCAATAAATAATCTCGTGCAGCTAAGTTCACATTCGAGCTCTAAAACCTTAACTCAAATAAAAAAAAACAAAAAAAAAACGATCAAAGAAGCACTCCACTCATTCCTCCCGTGACTACCGTTGCACTTTGTGCTTTTCACACCGCATAACTGAGGCAATTGGTTTTTCTATAGCTGAGGATTGCGTCGAGCCTGCAGACTTCCCTTTCGAAATTTTCGACTTCCGACGCTGCCACGGATCACTCCGAGGCGATGGCGCTTCTGAAAAATCGTTTGTAAATAAAACGACGAGAAAAATTAAGCAGAACAGATGGGACAAGAAAAAACGCTGATCGCCTTGAATGGGGGGGGGGGGAGGTTATTTAGGTTATGATGTACTCACCTATTGTAAACAAGGGATTGGTGAGAAGTCGGCAAGTCTTCCGAGAGGACAGGTCACCACCACCCCGTAAGCTGTATGTTTTACCGTGGGCAGAGTTTGGCGCCGCGCCAGCCCATTTTCCACAACTGTTGTCGCGTCTTCTCTTCGGCAACTGGTGAAGAACGGGCTGGCGCCGCCCAGATTTAGCCCTCTAACACGCCACAACTGCAGCGAATAAGACTGTATGCCCTACTTATTCAATTTACAGAATACCCCCCCCCGTTCATGGAAAGTTGCACCAACAGACATTTATGAGTGAGGAAAAAATTAATACCGAAACGAAGTCCATGTGGAGTTCCTTGTCGACTAATGCTGTCTTCAGGTGCAGGTGATGATGTACTCACTTGATCGCCATGAGTTCTGCCTGAATCAGAGCTTTTATCTAGAGAGAGGTAGCAGACTGCCGCGCCAAACACTTATTCTGTGAGGCTTTTCTTCAAAGAAACTTACCATCAAGGCAAATGGATGCGGAAGAGTTAGATCGAGCTGGACTCGCTATTGATGATAATGATGTCACCTAGAAACGTGAAGGAATTATTTTCAAAACCATAAGTAACACCATGAGTTATGCTTCATCGGAACAGCTTCTTCAAACCCCATACATTGGGCAGTCGTAACAAAAAAAAAACCTGGTCGACAATTTCATTAGCCCACCTGATCCCTTGCGCTCTCGACAGATTTTCGGCTTGCTGCTAAAGCACCTTTCGGTGCGTGACATATTTCGGCAACAACTTCAACATCCTGGAATAGAATTGAATTCAACTCACTCGAGTCCTTATGACACATTAAATATATGGATCAATAATGTCATCAACCTTCAAGAGACGGTTGCCCGTTTCGATTGCCTATTAGTTTCGAAACGTTTCCCGCTACATTTCCGATGAGAAAGCCAATGCTTGACTGCGTTCATAATTAGCGGCAGCGTTTTGAGCAAAGAAACGTTTCGAGAGAATAAGAAAAGATAGGTATTGATCCAGCGTTTTCAGCGTCCACCAACGTTTCGATACCTATACTTTCCTAGTCATTCAAAACGCTCAGAACGCTGGCGGACGCTAAAAAACGCTTTCCTAGTCGCTCAAAACGCTGCGGCAAAGAATGAACGGACTCTCAAGAAGCTGAACTGTATCTACAATTGCGATGTCCAAACTCCTACAGTCTGATCCCTTTACAACCGCATATTATTCTTCGGAGCATTTATTTAAGATTTTTTTGGTAACTACCTCTTTATTCACTTTGCAAAAGAGAAAAGAACTCACATCAGCGTCCTCTTGTCGTTCCACTTCCTTGACAAATTCAACAACCTGCACGTCCTCCTCATCCACAACCTGCACTTCCTCCTCATCCTCATCTTGAATCTCAACTCCGCTACAGCTCGGTTGTATGCCCATGCATAACACATCATCAGATCGCTCTGCTTCATCAGATTCTGATAACTCAATTACATCTGGCTCCACCGCCGTTCGATCATGCTGAAAGAATATGAAAATGACTAACTAGAGTAATTTTGGTCAACAAAGCAATTACCACCTTCGTTGCCGATGAGGGTACTGCCGCTGAGACTTCAGCAAAAGCCTTCTACTTCAGAACTGTCGGAATCACATGAATCCCGAGTTAGGTCAATTACCGCTGGTTGAGCCGGGAACGCTAGAAAACAAGCTTTCGCGCTTAGAAAAAACTTTTACAGCAACATTCTCTTGGTGAAGGCAGCTTTCCAACTTAATAAGAAGGAAATCACTAACTGAATCGGTTTTTCCTGCTATCTTTATCCAACGACATGGTAGTCTCGAAGCCGTTCGCTTTGGATGACGATTCACAAAACTGGTCCTCAATCTTGGCCTCTTCGTGGTCCTCGCCACTTATTAACCGGTACACAGTCTTCACTGGATTGAAGAAGAAATCACCTAAAAAAGCAATGAGTACTGGGAAAATAGTAGATATGATGACAGAGGATTAGTAGCAATAATTGAGATAGGAACTGCTGATCTATCTTCTCAACAAACAGCTCTACTTTAATAGGACAGAAGAATGATGACATTCCCACAAAAACGTAAAACCAATACAACGCTGCCTTTATGCTTTGCCGCGAGAGCAGAGCAGAAACTGCGAGCTGACGTTTTGGGAGAATGCACGTCAAAAGAAACTAGAGATCTCTATCTGCTGTTTAGGGAGAATAAGGAGCGCGCGTAGTATAGTCTGCACTGAGGGTATAACAGCGTTCACACTTTGCATCAGTGTTCTGTGCATCCATCAGCGATTCGAACGTTCAAAGCTAAGGCTAAAGAAAGTATAGGTATCGACTACTGCTTAGCTCGCTAAGGCAGACGCTAAAAACGCGAGACAGACACTTGTACTTTCCTATTCGCTGACGACGCTGGAGCACGCTGAAAACGCCGGCGGACGCGCAAAACGCTGATGGACCCTGCAAACGCTGGATCGGTACCTACACTTTCCTACTCACTCAAAACGCTGACAAACGCTCAAAACGCTGCCGCAAAATATGAGCGCACTTTGAAATCACAAGAATGCTGAGTTATGGGCAAAAGTCGAACCCCAGGCGGGAGTCGAACCCGCACCTCACGCTTTCCGGGCGAGTGCGCTATCCGTTACGCCACCAGGGCCGCTTTTACCCTCTCAGCTAAATGGCTTGCCCCGCAAACCAAAGGCATCATAACGAAATAGCACATAACGATATCGCTCACTAAACCTACTTTTTTTTCGTTAACTATACCGTATAGAACGTGGCCTCAGCAAAATCGACGTTTCAAGAGAGTGCATGCAATATAGTAATAGTGTGACTTTTCGCAATAGGTGGGACAATAGGAGAGTAGGAGACTGGGCGATTAGGCATCATAAAATAGCAAAGTCTGCAGTGCGGTTGCAATTGCCTTTGGCGCGCATTTTCCCAAAACGTCAAATTGTAAAATCATGTACTCACCCTTTATTGGGAACATTCAAGCATTCAAATATACATTCAGTTTGCGATACAATAACTGAAGTAAAAGAAAACCAACTGAATGAAAAAGACGCGGGTGTGGTTTTTCTTCGCTTTGAGTGATGATTCGCACTAGCACCCGAGCCAGCCAGCTCACGTTTCCGCACTGAACAGGACAGGATTATATAGTACGTTGCAAGAGATCTTGGACTCTCCAAACAGACCGCACAACTACAGACTTCCTGTGAATAGAACAGCAAAAAAAAAACATACCTCTACGTTCACTGCTTTCTTCGTTGAGAATATCGAGTCGTGGCCTCCGCGAACTACTTCGGGAACGACTGCGCCTACGGGATGACGGTTTTTCTTCGCTTAGCGTCCACCGACGCACAAAATTCATTCTAAATAGTGCACACCTTATCCAAAACATCTATCGTAGAAACAACGAACCAATCACGAATTTTGCTGCCATCGTACTTTTACAACTTGATGACCGAAAAACCCCACATATATCCGTTGTTTGCCTATTTTTCTGGGATGTAGCGGTTTTTGTTAATAGCCTCGAGCAAGTCGGGTTTCTCCGTCTAGTCGGGGAAGATGAAAGACATAACCCAACAGCAATAAGGAAGCTGTCCTGAGTTACGGTAACGTTTGAAAACGATTACTAAACGGAGAAACCCGACTTGCTCGAGGCTATTATCAAAAACCGCTACATCCCAGAAAAATAGGCAAACAACTGATAGAGTAAGCCAGCTCTCACCAACTCTTCTGATCAGTGACAGTGCAGAATTCGATAATTCGATTCACCTGCTCCAGTTCTGCTATCTTTTCACTCCTTGATTTTGTCGCGTGAGTAGGGGATAAATAAGTAGCTAAATTGCGATATTTAACACGAATGAAATAACCCAAGCAAGTTCACATGTACAAGGTTCTCAACCTTTCCAAAACAAGAAAATACATCAAAGAACGATTTTTTTTTGTTGTTGCAAATAAAAGCAGGTATAACGTCAAACAACTATCCAGCACAAAGCCACAATGGGAATAATTAATCGCAAATCATAAACGTAATGAATGATCAACCACGTGTGATAACCTCTGAGTGGGAGAAAAAATGGTGAAGGAAAACAAAAACAATGGAGAAAAATCCACACGGAACTATTTGATTTCTTCTGCCAACTGAACGCTATTAACAATTTATGACCTCACAACAAATACAAGGAACTAAAGAGAATATGACAAATGTATAGAGATTAATCGAAGACATCCAAAATTATTGTAGGAATGCCAAAATATTAATTTTCAAAGGGAATAGACACGGAGACTCTTGTCCATCGACGTTGAATACAGCGACCGCGCATGATCTCCAAATCGAACAGCAGTTACTGCTGCAGTATGAGTATCAAACGTCGCAACGACCTGAAAGTTGCCTCAAATATCCGCAACGACATTAAAAAAAAAACACTGCAATTACATATAGTGGATAGTTTCAGTTGCAAAGATTAGCAGCTAAAGATTACTCGTTGCGAAGATTAGTCAAAGATTAAATGAATCTTCAGACAAAACAGCACAAAAAAATATTTTAGAAAACACACTAATCAATGGCTTGGCAGCCTTGCTGTACGAGCTCTCCAGACCTGTTTGTTTCATGCCAGCATAGCGATATCCTGCCGCCTCTAACCCACTAATCGTTCCCTCACTTCTTCCACTGCCACTATCATCTAACATAAAGGGGGCGTCAGAACTGCCACTTATGAGGGCCACAGCTCCTTTCGTTACTTACTGTGAAACCGCGACAACGGAGCAGTCTTAGAGGACTGCAGACCACATTTCTTGAACAAGAAAGAAACCTTACCAAATGTTCGAGCGCGGGGATAGTCTTTAACTTCGAAAGTCAATTACGTTTGTGGCGGACCTCCCTGACCCGGAAGAATATGAGGAGCATCGGGGATTCAACGTTCAGAGGAAATGCGTGCCAAAGGAGTAGATGGGATTTCAATCATTTTACACCAAGTGATTCAAAATGTGCTTTGAAAAAGACAAACCTGCCACGATTTCACATGTAATACTTCCACGTCGCTAGATCCCACCGCCAGGTACGTTCCAGAATGATCGAAGCAAATATTGTTGATGGAATGCTTGCCATCGTGCAAACTCAACGTCTTCAAATTCTTCAATTTACGCAGATCCCATAGTTTAAGCTGAAAAAATTCCATTTAAATTGAGCCAGAAATAGATCTGTGTTGGAATCACGAGTCCAATCAACCAAGTTTTTGGTGTTACATGACTGTTTGAACCTTTGGCCCTATTTGGGCAATCCCACCTCACTGATGAGTCTCAGGGTTGAGGATATAACTAAGGTTTGTATGAGGACAGGGACGAAAAAAACACTGCTGTTTTGCAATAGTTTTTCTACCTATATCTACACTTTGGAAAGGATAGTGCAGACTAGTAAGGCACAGCAGCTGCCGGAACCTTATAGACATGAAAATTAAATAGAATGTGGTAAACTCGGGACTGATTTTTTATGGGGTCACGAGAAAAGTAAGAGGTCAAGAGGGATAAACAGTTAGGTCACTGTGGGCACGGAACGCTACTCAGGCAAAATAGTGTGTACAAGCCAATGTCATCGCCTTTGGCAGGTACTTGGCAGATACGAAACAACTAACTAGAATAATTTACCTCGCCATCTTCCGACCCGGTAGCCAAATAATAACCGTTTTCCGAAAACGCTATAGCACGTACTGCACCTTGATGACCAGGGAAATTGGCAACATTCGTTTGCTCTTTCAAATCCCAAATTTTCACCTGAAAATTGGTTGAATCGTTTGTGCCACACGATATGACTGCTTCGCCAATTCAAAACTTACAACTGCGTCGGCCGTTCCAGTGCCGAAAATCAAACCGTCTGGATGGAATTGTCCGCAGCAAACAGCAACAGATGAGTTGTCATCGGCGCGAACCTTCAATTACAAAGATTCATTGTTGACGATAAATTTCGCCAGTCTTTCACCCAACTAGTGAGTAATGCCTTGTTCTGTACCGACAGCCGAAAACCACGTCACTTCTGGTATTGATACACCTAGCGCAACAATGGAGCCAGGGGATGCACCACAAAGCCTCGGGCTCCTATCATAATGAACGACTACTCGCCACTGCATCTGGTCTTGTGAAAAAAAAATGACTATCGAGTTCATATTCGCCGTTTCAGCAGCGCCATTCCGCTAGGAATCACTTGACTGCTCGAGGTCACGATCCACCTCTAATACTATAACCGCTCCAGTTTCGTCAACAATTTCGATCAGTAAGAACGTATTTGATTCGCTACAGCAGGCCAACGAATAGACATGGACAGCTAATCATCCCATTTAGGTCGTGTTCATAATTACGGCCCATGGCTAAACTCTCAATTGCTAGCCTAATCATGCTTATTCGAAACAACTCATAGGTTTTCACAACTTGCCACCTTAAAAGCATCTAATCCTGTAGACCGAATCAGCTGTAGGCCTTGAGGTCTAGGCGGTGTTCGGCTTCACGGGGCGGGGGAGAGGGAGATTTTTCTAACTTGCTAGTTGCTGCTAACTTGCACGCCTCGCCTTGGCAAGACCTTGTAGACTCTTGTCGAGGGTAAATGAAATTCTGCTAGTGCATAGCTTTACAAGAGCTTACAGGCTTAGATAGGAAACAATGGCAACGATCGATGGGAACTAGCGAAATGCCCCTACCAAACCGTACTGCGTTTAAGACTTCACAAAATCCTCTTACCTTGCAGAGAGTTTTTCCAGTGTTCACATCACTGAGAGCCCAATGAGAATCATCTTGACCACCAGAAAGGACATAGTCTCCAGTGGCGTGAAGCGAGATATCTGAACAACAAAATTAAAATTAGCAGGAAATCATTGTCACGTCAAGCAATTTACCTGTAACAGCTGCTTGGTGAATGTCGATGAGGGCTTTGCAGCTTTCCTCACCAGTTGTCCATACACGCGTAACCTATAAATTTCAGCAGTTAACTCGAAGTAGACCTTATTTTGAAGCAGACCTTTTCTTAATCTACTGCTGAAGCACCCCTTGTAAACCAACCTGAGCGTCAGAACTTGCAGAAATAGCGTTGATTTGAGTTGGGGTGAAGGATAACGGCATTGATTTTCTTCTGATGCCCTTTGAAAACATCCTGCACTTGCTCCTTTTCCGAATTGAACAGAACAACAGTTTTATCTGCACCTCCAGTAAGGACCATTTTTCCCTTAAGTAATACACCATTTAACTAGTTCGTCATTGAATAAAAAAGCCTTAAATTTACTTGAACATCAAGAGCGGTAACGCCTGGTACTCCGGTGCTGTGGATTCCAGTATGACAAGCTGATTCGCGGAATGACGCAAATTCATCCTGTTTCGTGAGCTCTTCTGGGAGATTCTTTCCTCGTTGCTTACGAGCCGCCGTTAACGTTTTTGCTTTCTCATCCAAGCGGGCGAGGACTGCCTCCGAAATGCCTGAACAATCTGCTATACAACCACGCAAACAGGATTTGCTGATAAAATGCTACCTTGAGCTTCATCCACACTTTGTTCCATGTCAATATCGCCAGCTGCATGCGTAACGTTAGCAGCATGCGGCTTAAGGGTCGACAGAGCTTCACGAGCGGCCGTCAATTCCTTTGTGAGGCGAGCAATCACACGGCAAGCGGCATCATGCTAAAAAATAATCTGAAGTCTTATTACTACCTTTGGCCAAACTACTCGTAATTACAAGGGCTGCTGTATCAACTCTGGTAAATTTTTTTTTATATTTTATCAATATCCGTGCACAATGTCGCAAAAATTGAAACCGTATCTCACTGGACTAATACCAAATACTCACAAACCATTTTCCAACCTTGCGCTATATTGTGCAGACTTTCTACTGCGCGTATTTTGAGATAATCCTCCAACCTTAGCGCTTCTAAATTGCAGGGCTTCTACTGCGGTATTTTGAGATATCCATTGAAGTGCTCCGCGCGAAGAAGAAGAAGAAGAAGAAGAAGAAGAAGAAGACATCAACCATGCGAGTTAAGGGTTTTCTAGGATTCAAGGACAAAAGGTTCCATTAACGTGGAGGCGACTCGTTGGCCACCCGTTCGGCAGATTGCGGGGGAGGTGCACTCAGGGCGTTGCATGTAGTATGCTTAGTTAACAAAGCAGCAGCTTCTCGCTCCTGCAGTGATGGACCAGGCCTCTGATTCAGGCCTTTAATGAAAAAGTTCCACCTAGGCTGTGTTTAGACTTTGGGACTCGGGAGAAACTGCACTCCTTGGAATTGCTCGAAACTGGGGAATGCGCAAGAAGGAACTATATGTATCGACGCGTCGTTTCAGAGATTTCGCGAACAGAGGGGAGTACCGGTATCGCTCAGGGCCAGTGATTAGCCTTCTGACAAGGGAGGTCTTTCAGGTCGTGGCGCGCTTTTTGGAAATGGTTTGTTGCTTGTTGTAGGGGTCCATATAAGGATCACAAAAATGGTTTTCATTTTTGCTATGCGTTTCTGAAGAGGTCAAAAACTGAGTGAAAAAATTTGACAAGAATGGGCGATTTTAAACGTATTAATTAATTAGGCCTCAAAAGTAGTTTCAAATAAAGTCAAAATGTAAGTATTATGTAGTAGCACCCTTGGCATGCACCGACGCAACAGCGTTGTTTTTGTCAGCGGTGACGACGCGGAGTGAGCCATGAAGAAGCACCGCTGACAAAAAACAAGGCTGTTGGCGTCGGTTGTCAGCCAAAGTGCTACTACATAATACTTACATTTTGACATTCATGTTGAAACTACATTTGAAGGCCTAATTAACGAGGCACCTCAATAGCAATGCTCGTAAGTTACACATCAGAATGGAGCCCATTAAAAATAGAAAATCGCCCCACTTCTTGTCAAAATTTTTTTGCACATCAGTTTTATGAACCTCTTCAGAAACAGCAAGCCAAAAATGAAAACCATTTTGTATCCTTATCTGACCCTTACAACAACCATTTCCAAAAGGCGCGCGGGACCTGAAAGACCTCCCTTGTGAGAGACAGAGAGAATCGATAAATAGGAAGGGCTAGGTGCGGGGATTAATGGTTGTAAAATACCACGGTCTAAACGACCGCAAATTATCAATGTGCTCTTTCATGACGCTCATCTAAGCCCCTCATATTCTCGCACGAATATTAGAGATGTAGTCGATCGACACGCCTCATTCGGCTTACGTTTTCCCAAATCGATACCTATACCTTCATTTTCTCGGATTCCCGCGAAAACGGCCATCCGGGTTCCGCAACTCCCCATTCCAACACTAACTATCTCAAGAAGCCAGAAAGATGCCTGTACCTCCTTTTTTCGCGCATTCTCCCAAAATACCAGTTTCTCAAGTCGCAAAGTATGAACGCAGCCTAGGAACAGCAGCGGTACTAGTAAATGCTCACTGTTTCAGGGGAAGGAAGAAAATCGTAAAAGATGAACTAAAGGAGGTCAAGCGGCGGAGAAATGACGAAACAAGTCCTCATACCCTGAAAACCAACAATGGCAACTTTCGGCAATAACTACCTGATAGAGAGAATGTGAAAGTTCCTGGCGTGCGGTTTGTAACTGCTGTCGAAGTGAGAAGCTGTTCAACATCACACTGTCCCACTCGTCTTGTAACATCTTCAGGAGTGATGGAATAGATGTTCCAGCCACATTACGAGGCGTAGTGTCCACAGCACCCGTTTTTAGTGGAATCAGCTGAAAAGGGATACAGAACTCACCGGCAGAATTATTACAAAAATAGCGTACCTGTTTCTCGTCCAGAGACTCATTAGTAACAGGATCAACACCATTTTCGATAATATATTTCAAAATAAGCCGTTTTTCATAAATGTGGCCTGATGGAGCAGCTACAGGCTCTTCGGCAGGTTCTCCGCTGATTGCACAAGTGAACACCATTTTTCACCAAGCCCTAGTAACACGCAAGTGTGAAAGATGTAAAAAACCAAAAACCACAGAAAGAAGAGAGTTGCAGAAGAAAAGCTTTAAAATTACTTCCGATCTTTAAGTCTTTAGAGACGTAATGCCATCCTAACTACATCAGTTGCAGAAATACTTAAGCTTTACTAGCCAATATTAAGGTTAAGTGAGTCAAAAACTTGAGAAAATCCACTGAGCAAGCCAAAAGAGAACGATGTGCAAAACATTATTTGACAATATCCAAAAAGTGCGCGCATTGGCAAGGATCGCGCGCCACATCCTTTACTAATACGCAAGCGTCCTTTGAAATAGCGTGACATTAAATGTGGGTCACCGAAAGGTCAGCAAGATACGAATCGATTTGACGCCCGAGCCACTTCCTCAACTTTCAACTTATGTTGATGGGTAGCTTCTTAAATTGTTAGCCGAAGGTTGTGAGGTGTCCCTGGAAGATAATGTAGGCTACTAATGTCACGACAATAGGGGATTTTGGAAGTTGTTCCATCCCCACGCTGGACCTCGACTTTGGGCGGACTTATCAAATGAGTTAGTATGACTATCAAAAGGCCTCGTAAGAAAGCAGTTTGGCCGATAAAGAAATAGTCTAGGATCAAGAGAGCTTCCAGTGTTGGTGCCACGCACACACTACAACTCTCTTTCAGTGATACGAGCTGAAACTGAAAAGATGTGACTTTTGGGTCTTCTAAGCAATCATCCACATGTCATGATGTTGTTGTGACAGTACTCAACAGCTCGTTTCACCTTCGTCGCATGACGTCAACACCTAGACTTCTGACGTGGACGAGTTCATCGGCGCTGGACGAGTTCGCGTCACAATACTCTGCTCATTGAATATGTTGTCCTTCTACGCGGTTATTTTCTTGATGTTCACACATCCTTTCAGTAAACAACTTCTCTTATTTCTCTAGACATAGCTTCATTCTTTTGGTTGCCTTTGACTAGAGATCTCCTCATTTTTGCTACATTTTCAACCATCAATTTGTTCCACTATTTTGTTTTTTCGAGATCTGTTCTTCTTTCCATTACTTCTCTCCTTTTTTTATACTCTTTAAGAGGATGATTATCATCAAAACTTTGGAGACGTTTACTGTATGACCATAGTACGACCTCGTAAGAAGCACCCGGGGGACGCGGCGCCGTGAATCGGACCACAAACTCTTCTCGTGAACGAGATAGTCGTCGAGAAGACGATCGGTTTGTTTGTATTTATTTTTTTCACCTTAACATGCAATAGTGGGGGTCCTTCTTTTATCTTGAAACAATTTTTTGGACGTGCTCTCGTGGGTCATACCATTTTCTAAACCTTAGTCACAGGAGTCGAATGTAGCATTCTGGAGTCCGTTTACTTCTAAATGTGACCATAGGTGAGATATTTCGACTGTCTTCTTAATGCACTGCGCATGCCGACATGCACGTGCATATGCGCCATTTTCACCTCAGTAGCGTTTCGTTTCATTATTCGACAAGTTCCATTTGCTTAAATCCAGCTCCATGGAGAAAGAAGGGGGTCTATCAAAATGGAATGGAGGAGCATGAGTGAACATCCTGGCTGTCCCTCTTAGGTCGTAAAAGAAGGATGAGTGTTGGTGAGACCCCAGAAGCAGGTCGCAGTTCGATAGCCTGCGCAGAAGTAAGATTGCGGAAGTGAGGGCAGGGGCGAGAGTGAGACTGTGTGTGTCGACAGGTGGAGTGCAATTATCAAAGAATGGGTGGAAGAAGTACAAGAGAAAGCAGGAAAGAGGGTATGCGGAACGAGATTGGGTACGAATCGTTACGCGCCGGAGTCGAACGGGAACAAGATGACGACAGAGCAGTTCCTGTCGCTGGAAAAAAAATTTGCAAATGCTACGCCCCTCCCCACCCCTTTCCCATGTGACCTGCCATTTTCCAAAGTCTTCCCAAGTTCTTGCCACTTCTTCCCCTTTTTTCGATGAAATTCGTTTTTCTTCAAATAATGATTTCGATAGGGGGGCGGAGGAAGGTTGCCACCATAGCTACTTGTTATATCCATCAGAAGTAGTAGTATTGCTCCACTATCTAAGGGCGGGGAGTTTGGATAAGATGCGTGAAACACGAAATCAACTGTCAAAAAGTAAATCAATACCGAAAAAAAGTTTCCTCACGCGTACCTCCCACCTTGTGCGATCTAGTACAGCCTTCCCTCTCTCGGGACTTGACCAGCATACGCTGTGCTCGTTGACTACTCAAGGCGCCGCAGAATTAAGAGAGCCGTTTCACGGAATGAAAAGAATCAACGGGGAAGATTTGACGAAATGGGCAGAAATACATGCGTTATAACGTATACGTTCTTTTCCGAGATTCCTGCGTTAATCCCGATTCCATGTTTTGCCGATTCTTCGAATTCCTTGCTTGTTCAGTGCCGAAAGGTATGAACGCAGCCGTAGGGCGGCCCGCAAAGTGTAAAATGACTTGCTGGTTCAGTGTAGTTGTGGAATAGAAACGAAAAATTGAAAGGAACTATCCCCTACATTTTTTTTCATGGGGCTCTCAATTTTTTTCCAGTGAATTCGAGAGGCTGTTATAAAATAGTTGGCGAATGGCATACTTCTAACACTAGGAATTAGCGGAGATGGGTTCAGAAGTGGAGCGCAGAATCCTTTTCCGCGCGAAAGAAGAGCTTCGGAGTGGTTTGCATCGATGAGGATAACCTGGGGTGCCTAGTGTGGTAAGACCTGACTCGTCAGGGCGCATTCATACTTCGCGATCTGGGCGGTTGCGTCGCACGACTGCAACGAAAACGCTCCGTCGTCATTCACTGACTGCTTCAAGTGTTGGAGCAATTCTCATCCTGAATGTACT